CCGCTGAACCTCCCCAGCACACCACCGCCTGACTGTCTTCACGCCGCTTCACGCCCTACCTCCTATCTTTTCTTCGCGCTTTCCACTAACCGTCCCCATACTAAAATCCCTAAATCCGCGACACGCCTCTCTTCAGTTCTCGCCCTCCCACTTGCTTTTTTCCCTCGCGTCGTCTGACTGTGGGGCGGAACCCATAACCAAAGAGAACATGAAGAGGGACATCGTTTTGGGTTATTGTTAGAACATGTGGTTGACGGTTTGGATCAGTTGCCTTGATAGTATTTACTTTATATTCATACAATAGCCCCCATAGTTATTTACCCGTGTGACGAAGTGGTATCGTGCTTCCCTTCTAAGGAAGAAATCCTGGGTTCGAACCCCAGCATGGGTGAACATTTTCCATTCGTTTCATTCTTTTTGGATAGTTTGACGATGACGCCGCCACCGCCGTTGACAACGGCGCCGCCGGTTGTGGTGTGGTCCGTGCCGCGGGCCTATGGCGGTGGCGGCGCCCGCCTCAGCACCAGCACCAGCACACGGAGTAGCAGCGCAGCTGCTGTCGCAGTCGCTGTCATCGATCCGGAGGTGCCCGCATTCGCGGAACCCACCTCCCCGCCGCCACCAGGCGTGACTGCGAATGCCTGGTCCCGTACGCTGCACGGGCTCGACCGCCGCATCCACGCCGCATGGGGGGCGTGGGCGGCGGCACCGTCGGCACCTGCCCGCAGATACGCCGGTGGTGGCCTCGGCGATGCCGGCGACCTCGAGTCCTCGGCACGCAGCGTCGCCGCCGGCGGCGTAGGCGGCGGCAGCATGCGGGCGCGGCGCGGCGCCGGGCCGTGGCACCGCCGCTGCTGGGTCGCCGGCGCCAGCATGCTGCGCGCGCTCGGCGGTGCATTGTGGACCTGGTGCGGCTGCGGGCGCGTCGACGGCCCGGCTGAGGAGGTTCGTTGTGTGAGACGCGGCAGCGGTGTGGCGGCGACGAGCGGGAATGTGTGGCTCGGCTTTGGGCTTGGCTGACCTCACCGTTACCCCTTCCCCTGCAAATAGATGATGCAGGAGGTCGCGCGGTTCCTTGCTGACGAGAACGCCGCCGTCTACGAACCGAGGGGCCTGCGCATTTTGGTAAACCGTCGTCACTGCTCACGGCCCCTCCTCATATTTGTTTCGCTTACAAGCTAGACGCATTCGAATTCATCTCGTTTGTTCCAACCACACCGACCCCTCTCTCCATCACCCCCTCCCCTGCCCTCCCCGGTAGCACCCCGGCCGCTCTGCCGTCCAGCGGCGCGCCGTCGGGCGTG